CTTCACAGTTTGTCAAGGTTCCTCCTTGCTTACCGGATATCAACTCTCAAGGGTGTTTCCTATACGCTTCGCTCAAAGACGTCCGCACGCCTGTCACCTCGTTACTTTTTAAGAATCGAGAAAAACGACCGCGACTTTTAGCCCTTCCTCGATGACCAAAGAACGAAAATATGGGGCCATGAAGTGGAGACGCGAGAACGTCAACACGATTTAAAACGCGCGTGAAACTGCAGCTCGAATCTTACGATCGATCCGAGGCACTTCGATCGCCGCTAGGCATAGGCGCGATGTGAAAATTCAATTAAAATTTCAATCTATCGCAGCTATTGTTCCGCGAGGCGCGAGAGATTCGGCGCTTTTCGGCTGGATTCTGATTTCGCCGTTTTATTTACCGGCACGGCACCGCACGGCGACTCGGGGAGACGTAGACTAAAATTGTGTCGTCTCCGCGGAACCATTCATTCAATCAATTTAGAGACTATTTCCGGGGATAACCCTCGGGATAGCCCCCGGGTTCGTCACTCGGGCAAACTGACCGATTATATCGCGGGTGCCGGAAACAAAGAACGCGAACCGTGTTTATTTTCATTCGCATAGTCGTGCCGCCGTCATATTATCGATATAAGTGTCGATATAAGCGAAAAGTGTGTGTTTTGGAATTGATATACGACGACGAACCGAACGCCTTTTGACAAGACGGAAATCTGAAAACCGGGAAACAATCCGAAAATTCGGCGACTCGACTTCTTCCGCGAATTCGGCTGCTATCAAGAATGGCGCGAGTCAAGCATCCGGGAATCCAAGGTCCCGAGAATTGGAGTATATCCTAGAATCCGAGGAATCCGGGAGAGAGTCAACAATTTTACTCCTCTTCTCACAATTGAAAAGGGTTAATGCCGCGCACGCTTCTCCCGTGTTTGCTGAATGTCCCGCGTCTGAATAGGAAACAAGGAAATTCGTTATCGGCCATACAAAGCCTCTCGGAGAAACGACTCCCTCGCCAAGGGAGAATTCCGCGAGAGTTAATCCCATAGAAAGGCGAGCTTAATGTCGCTCGCCCTCGGAATTTTATGACGGCCTTCTTCCAAGACGATGATTCCTCCCGCTGATATTACTTATTCGAGCTTTTCTTGGAATTGGTCCGAAGCACAATTTTTCCGGATTTTCCCCCTCCCCCC